CCAACTGCTAATTTTACTGGAATTTATTTCATAGTAGCTGTATTATAATGGGTTCAAATTGACAGCTGTTTCTCTAGACCTTTATTCTGATTGTGGCTGTCACTGATGAAGGAATGCCAGAATTAACATTCATTGGTATCTAAGAGATCAATTGTCTGCTCATCTTGAAAAGCAAAAAAAAAAAAAAAAAAAAAAAATAATCCTTATTTTTCCTTTTTTTCTTCTTTCTGTAACCAGCAGTGTGGAAGACAAATCGTCACCGTGTTCAAAATTTCAAGAAAGACGATTTTGGTCAGCTGTTAAGGTAGAGAAAATATACCTGGTTTTTTCTTTTGAAATTAATTTTAGCAAAAAAATATTTTGCAGTCAGTCAGGAAGTACATCTTCAGGCAAGTCTGGGTCCTGGGAGATTAATACATTTTTATTAGGATGGATAACCACTTCTCAGTGAAGGATGTGTTCTCTGTGCAACCTGCGTGTGATGATTTAAGAATGAACTATAAATGAGCACTTTATTTCTATTTACCCAACTGGTACATCTTTTGTAAGAGACTTTGAATCTGACCATCTGTCCCTGCTGGTGTGTTTTTTTTTTTTTTTTTTTTTTTTTCCCCTTGAGTGGGTCAGCCTCATATTAATTAGTCATTGCCACTCTGCTAACAGGTTGTCACCCAACTGTATGGGTACAGACAGGTTCTTTTGAGGATCCTGGGCAGAATGATGATGCCACTAAGTTGTAGGTACAATCAAAGTGCTTTTTTCTAACAGAATTTGATGATCAGCATGGCATAGTATTTTATGATTGGAGTAGCACAGGATTTTTATAAACAGAATAAGTGTAGCACAATTTTATAAGCATAGCACAATTTATAGCACAGCTTAGCTTAATCACCTGGCAGATCAGGTCAAATCTTAATATTTGGCTTGCAGCATCAATATACAGTCATCACCTAGACTAGAAACACATAGAAGAGTACAAGTCAGTCAGTCCTTGGAGGAAGCAGAGGGTGGTGGAGGCATCCCTGGCCACTGGCAGGGTTCATGGGTCTCGCTGTCCAGCAGCAGTTCTGGTCAAATTCTCCTTAGGACTTGTAACTGCTTGATTTTTATAGACAGTGCTCCATGTGCTGTTACGCTTCCCTGTTCTGTGATGGGGTCATCGCCACCGCTGGGCTGGCTGGGTACCTGTGACCTTCAAGGCTGGTAAGGAGGGGAGTAGTCAGCCTGGCACCCAGGAATCTTGAGGCTGCCAGGGAGGGGAAGAAGAAATCTGTTTGGTTTGACGTTTGTCTCCTTGATGCACAGGACCTTTGGGCGTGATAATGAGGGGAAAGGGGGCTAAATAAGCGACCAGCTCAGTCACAGGGAATGGCCATTTGCCTTATAAAATGCTAGGGTGTAGTCGTATCCTGCACAGATGTAGTAACTTTTTTTACTTCTCTGTTAGATTCTGTGAAGGTTGGCTTACAATTGGATGCCACTTGTTCTTGGTCTGTATTTCTTGTAGGGGGGGTGTCTTAAATGCTCTTTCCTTCTTCCACACCTTCAGATTGACTGCTAGCTCTTCTGTGAAAAGAGTAAAGCACTGTTGTTTTCCATACTTGGGCCCTAGCAAATTGTTAACCTATTATGAAGGGTAAAATGCTCTTCCCTACCTTGGGAGGTCATATATATACATATTAGGGTACAGTTCTTATGCATATGTAAAATTAATTAATCCTACTTGATAAGATTGATTACTATATGCAGCTTATTAGTGGCTAACTGCCAGTAAACTTGGAGAGAGCAAATCCTGAGTTTTGAGTACTTAAATTGGATGGACATAATATATAATATTTTTTAAACATAGAACTTTTGATCCTGTGTTTTAGCACCCCTTTAGCCACCAAGTATGCATATTCTCCTATTTATTTATTATTGCAGCTGCTCTCCAATGTTCTTCTTTGGGATGGGATTGTACAAGAAGATACGGTCCGTGATTTGGGACTGAGCAAGTTGCTGAATCGTTACCTTCTTCTGAACCTCTTAAACACACCACCAGGGCCGGATAATATAGAAAAGTGTAATAAGGTAAAAGGTAACTTGTACATTGGAAGAGGGTGTATGCTAAAAGCTTTTTTTCATGAAGAGGGGTCTAGACTGAAGATGGAATATTTAAAAACTTGAAAATTTAAATAACACTTCAATGTTTTAAAAGAAATTGAAATTTAATTTTTTTTTAATTACCTTGGTGTGTAAAAGTGTTTTAGAGCAAACATTGGTCCATAGGTTCTTAAGAATAACTATTTGTAGGGATAATCAATCTTGGCTTCAATGAAAAACCACACTACTACCTGAACCTGCCAAAAAGAAAAGTCCCTGTCAGAAGTGATGTGACTTGGTTATATAGAAAGACTTTTCTTTTTAAACCTTTCCAAGTATTTTTCCTGTGAACAGGTGGTCGCGTGCCTCCCAGGAAGATGGTTCCAAGATCTTAAAAGTGGATCAACTCTCCCTGAGTTACTGAACTTCTGCCAGCATTTGCTGCAATGTGCCCGTGTGCTTCACAAGAACAACCACAGGTAATAAGGATTCAAGCACTTCCTCGTATACTTTGTGTTGTATATTTCTTAAGTTCCTCAAGTCACATTTTTGATCCTTTCAAAGATGTTCGTGTCGCCTATATGGATAAAACAAAAGATGGAGTCCGTAACATATAGGAGTGCTTCTGCAGTTCTAGTTTAATGTGGTATTTGAGGTGCTAGATGTTGGGTACTGTTACTGATCAGCGTAGCCAAGGTCACCTGATGACAAGGGGCCAGGGAGAGGTACCTGCTTCATTTTAAAATTAATAAACATACAGTGTACTTCAGTCAGGTACATAAAAGTGCTGCTATTTAAAATTTTTTCTTTTTCTTTTTTTTTTATAGTGAGGAAACAAAAGCAGTTCTTCTCATGCTGGTGAAAGTCAAAGCTCTGCATGTTGTTGAAGGCTTCATTGAAGAATACAAACTTGAACACCTTAAATCCATGATTGGGAAATAGGAAATTTTTGAAGGAACACTTATATTACTACAACAAGCCTGGTATTAACACTAAACCAGTGCTAATATGAAATTTAATTAGGGGACCCCACCTACTCAAAGATTTAGTGGTAGTCACTGTCTTATTATTAAACACTGAGGATTTTCTTTCCAAATGTCTTCTACTGCCATCTACTCCTGGCTGTAGGAGTCTTTTTAGCAGTTACAGTTGTCAAAATCAAGCGATGGTTCAGGCATTCTAAAAATGTATGACAAAGCTTTATTGCTTTATCCTTTTTGGAAGGATTCCTGGAAGGAGAGAGAGTGCCTGTAAGGTTTATTGCTGCCAGTGAGTAGCCAACTTTGCGAGCGATTTTCAGTATTACGCTGATAAATACCACCCTCTGACACAGCAGTCACTGAGCTCTTCTAGCTTGTGCTCCACGGTGATTTTGGTAGGGTTACCGTTGAGCCATCCCTAGTGAAAAAGGATTCATAATATTGCAGGGGTTTTGACCCTGATACGGAAATGAGAAGTGGGTGTGCAGGTGAAGAGTTCGATGAATGTTTATTGATGGTAAATGTGGGTTCAGTGAGGCAAGAGCTGCACAGCAGAATGTCTGGGGAAGAGCAAACACATAGTGAAGATAGTGTCTGATGGGTGTGCTCTTGTACTGGAGTGACACAGATTTCAGTCACGTGCACACATCTGGAGCTGTCGCACATCTTGCTGTATCAGGCTTCTAACAGCAGATGTCTTAATGATGAGAAGCACAAGAACAATGTCAGTTACTTTTCTCTTAACTGAAACTCTAGGAAAGTCTTCCTTTTGCTTCCCCATATGATCTACAGAACCTTACTTCATCATACCCTTATTAGAGTTCTGATGTTTTATAATTTTGTGTATTTGCAATAAATAATGTTATAGAATAACCAGGATGCTTTATTGTAGAAACTGTAGTGCATCACAGACTCCGTATGTTTACTTGTGACTGTATTTCTCCAAAATCTTCTGGGGCTAGAATTAACTCTTGCAGACTTAATCCATATGGCTTCTTTTATGGTTTTTTAAGTTAAAATGTATTTTTATAAAATATTTTAATTGTAAATAGCTTTGATCAGTGTTACAGACAGAAGATGACTTTTAAAATAATTTTATTTTGAAAATAAAGTAAAAAATATTTTCCTGCATTAATGACTCCTGCAGTTCAATTCCTTAACATGTGACAAGAATGTTATTAGAAATATGAACAGGCCCTTAGGCTGTATGAGTTACATTGCAAGTCCTGCTTTCTAATAATGGTGAATTTCTGTTGCTTTTCCTCTCAGAATGCCAACAAAAATGCAACAGCTGATGAGCAATCACCACAAGTGCATGATCTCATTGCTTTTCTCTTGTTCTCCTTTGTCTCACCCCAGCTAAAGCTCTCCCCTGAAGCAACCAGCTGTGTGCTTTTATAAAAATATAATAGATATTCTACCACAGTTTAGCTCTGTAGATCTTTCTGGAAGGCATGGGAAGGCAGTTAACACTGGGTGTTTCTACTGTGGAAATACCGTTTTATGAAACGGGCTGTCTCAGTATTAAGAATCTACGCTGACACTTTGTGAGTGCTTAGAATCATACAATGGTTTAGGTTGGAAAAGACCTTTAAGATCATCAAGTCCAACCGTTAACCTAACCCTGCCATCCCACCACTAAACCATGTCCCTAAGCACTTAATCACAAACCTTACACTAATTCACATGATTTGGCTTAAATAAACTGGCTCAGTTCTTCACGGTTTCAGGGCACTTGTAGTTGCTGCTCCATCAGAAACTTTTTTTTTTAATGGGAAAACTAAACAGCACTTACTCTCAGAGCATCTGGTTGGCTCAAGACATGTCTACTTCCCTGCTATAGCCCATTTCTGAAGTTATAAGTCCAGCAGTTCTACAACTGGCCACTACCTAGTCTGTAAAGAGAGAAGTAACAGAAGCATTTGGAAATGACAACACAACTTGAACAGGTGATGCCAGCCCCTCTTGTTAACTGCAATTCAATTTAAAAAAGGAGGCTTCTCATTCCCAGAGAAGGGGAGAACACAGCATTCCACTCCTCAGAAAAAGGAGTGGCTGTTTGCAGGAACAGAAAGTGTTCAACCACAAAAGTTCATACACTGACATTTTCTGCAAAGGCTCACTTTATTGTCTATTTTGCCTATGTGTATATATACAAAACTTGACAAGTGATAATCCATACAGTAAATTCAAAGTAAATCTTAACCTTCTCAGTAATTCCTAGCCTGCAAAAACCATTATTATTTCTTAAGCTCTTCACTCACTTCTTTCCAAATTTTCTCCTCTATTTTTGAAGTATCGTATTCTCGCAGCATATCAAACTCCAGCCATGGCTGGCTCCACTTCTGTGCTTCTTTCATTTTTTTCTCAGGTAGCTCAAACTTTATTCCTTTTATGTTGTATTTTGGCCTTTCCCACCATTTTGACCACGGTTTAGGTTTCATTCGTACCTGTAGCTAGGGTAAAAGATTTAAAAAAAAAAAAAAAAAAGGTATTAAGTAATCAGAATTTTGATGGTGAGCTCAGCAAAAGGTGAGACAACTGCTGAGGAAAGTACAGGAAAGCAGACCAAGCTGTCAGTATATGAAGGAACTACTCTACACTGTTAGGAGAAGAAGAATTTTTGTGTCCACATAACTGTTTTCAGAGTATCTTGTAAAACTTTCTAATTAAGTCTTGATTTATTACGCAGTCTTTCAACTGAAACACAAAGTAAAGCTAACTCATCTTTTGTAGTTCTACTCCTGTTCCTTATTAAGGAAAAAGAAAAGCGGCATGACAGGGAAAGGGAGGAATGATCTCCGTAAGCTACTGAGTTACCAGACAACTCTGACAGGGTCTGCTGGTTTCTGGATCTTCTCCGAGATGCGTATTTTAGCTGACTCTTCCAATGTTACCTTCTTTCCTGACACCTACCATTCCCAACTCAGTAACAACATCAGCAATAACATTCCTGTAAGAAAAGCTTTCCTTCATTCCCAACTCAGTAACAACATCAGCAATAACAAAGAAAAGCTTTCCTCTCTGCACGGTGCTATATAGAGGCATGTTGGAAGCCACTACTCCTTGCACGTCTTAAAAATTAACTGCCAAGGATGGTAGATACTTTGTTCTCAACATTCTTTCACTACAGAAATGGCATAAAGACTTGCCTTATTTTGTACACTTTTGTCACCCTGGTAACTAATGCAATGGAGAACTGTTTAATGACCTTCCAGGATATCCGTCAGATATGAAAGTTACTTAAATTTTCCTCTGCTTTCCCTCTGAAACATGCGGCTCCTTACCTTGTTTACAGGAATTTCTTCATGGTCTAAATGAGACACAGGTTTCATGTTCATATCAAAAGTACTATATTCAGGGAGGGCATCTCGCAGATACATCAGGTTGTCATCCAGCCTCTTTTCTAGCTTCAGAACCTCGATCGCCTGGATTCGAGGATTGTATAGTTCATAACAGATTTCAACACCTTAGAGAGAGAAAGTCTGGTTTAATGAATCAAATTCATTAGAAATTCTAACACCAAATTAGTATTTCCTCAGTGTTATACATTCCTGTATTATTCGGGAACTGCTTTTTACTTATCAGAAAACTACAATATACAGTGCTGTGTGCACATGTGGTTGTACACGTGTGTTGTGTCTGCACAATTCTGTAAGTCAGGTCTTTGATAACAGTGCCTTAAGAAACACTGAACAGCTTGAATTTAAGTAAGACAAGCTTGGGGTTTAAAATTTACTCTTTTGGTTGCAATGGCTGTTACTATCTACCTCATTGTATGTGCAGTGTATATAATGAGACACCCACCCCTTGCATATTTGCTCTCAGAACATCAGTATTTGCATCTTCCCCCATTTTGTCATAAAATGGAACATGAGCCTGTTATAAAACTCTGCTAACCTGTTGTTTGTTAAACAACTCATGCATATGGCCCCAGTTCACGCAAATACACAGCACTCAAACTGGGCTAGGATTCACATGGCTAGCAGCAGACTGCCCAGGCTCAAATATTAAGCACGACCATAGTGGATTACATTCAGTCTTCTCAGAACACAGATCTAAAAATCACCAAGTATACAGACAAAAAATTACTAAGTAGTTCCATGCCTTCAAATATATAGCACATCAACATCTCTGTGTATATAGTTTTAAACCTGCAGTATCCCCGAGAAGATAAGACTCACAATTTCACTTTAAGCTATTGTCATCCTCTCTGTGGACTAAATTTCTATACCAGATATCCCTTCCCATACAACTTCAACATTTTTTGCTTACCATTTCTAGCATAATTACCACAGTTAAAAGCCCACCTTGGTCTTCTATAACATTCCGAAGGATAAAAGTAGCACCAAGTCCTTTTCCTCCTCTTTGAATGCAGATGCCTACGAACCGGTTGACTTTCTCATTGGCATACGGATCAGCAGTAGTAACGGCAAGGACACTGCCTGCCAAA